GAGACTTGAAGTCTGGTGTCTTCATGTGTCTATGCATTGTTACCACCACCAAAGAGGTTATGTTTTCACCCCTGTCCATTTTTCTGTTTGTTTATTTGTATTTCTGCAGGATTACGCAACAACTGCAGAATGGATTTTTACAAAACTTGGAGTAATGGGCCAAGAAAGAACACATACAATTTTGACATGGATCAAGACAAAGGTGTAGATCCAGGATTTTTTTCACTTTTTTTTTTACATCGTGAGATAAGCTTTTATTTGAGATTTTCATCTATTTGGGAAGTATGAGTGTCTGCAACTGGTGTAGCTTGATTGGATTTAAGGGGACTGTTGGGGTTTGGCGGAAGGTGTGGGCTCTACTGAGTGCCTTTTGTAGTTTAAATAGCAAGTGCTCATCTGGACGATCTTCAAATGAACTGTGACTGTGCTCGGGTTTACCAACAGGCGGATGTTCATGGAGGCTTACGTAGCTAAAAAGCTGGATAACACCCCTGAAAAAACTAAAATTGCATAAACTGGTTTGAAATGCAATTGCCTGTGGTTTGCATGTTCTATACTCACCTCTCCTCTCCTGATATAATTGTGCATGACGCCATTATAGTTTTTACTATACAAAATCCCTGCATGAGAGCTTATCACCTGATCGTTCTTCAGAATTCAGGAGAAAACTGTGAGATGAAGTCAATTGTTTCCATGTGACTGTGTTGCCAAAGTAGGACCGATTGTATCAGTAGATGCATTTAATAGACCCTGATTATGAGCAGCCTCATTTCCTACAAATGACTCCTCTGCTGAGCCCTGTGCACTGCAAGAATATATTATATTTCTTTTAGGCACATCTTTCTTTTGTGGTGTAACAATGTGAGCATAATGGGGAAATTTGGTAAAGAGATAAATGTATGAAACTGACCGATGCATTTTCTTTCCTATAAATCTGTGTCCCTGTGTAATTAAGTGGAGGAGCGGTTTTGTGTGCTTTGACCGTTTCATTACTTTTGAATAGGCCAAGATGGGCTGATATAGGTTAAAATGAGATATCAATATGTACAATATTACTTGAGCCTTTATTAATTTTATTCTATTATGCTTATTCAGTATTCTGCCTATGGCTGATTTTCATCATTTGGTTATTCACTGACATCCGTTGATGACAAATTATTTAAATCCTTGCCCAAGAGTTAATGTTGGCAAAGTATGAAATATCAAGAATTGTCTTTATTGTGAAAATATAAAATGTTTCATGTTGTTGAAATCAAATAACAGGTATCTAATAACAGACACGAGTATGACGTGTTTTCTGATTTATTGTTCCATTGGGAGTCCTAAAGTTCTGAACTTTTCTTCCCACCAGTGCCTCACAAAGCCACATAGAGAAGAGGTGTGAAGATGGCTCCCACACGTCACTTTGATGGATAATCCTGCTGAGACCCAGTCAGCAATCATCTATAATGTAGGTTCAAGAGTAGAAAAACCTCAGTTTCTATCCCATCAAGTGCTTTTCTAGACTCTCATGCAGGGTCATTGCCACGACCCAGAAGATGAGCGATTCTCATCAGCGTTTAGATTATTATTCCCAGGACACTTCTCCCAATAAACAGTCTCTTCGAGGTGGTCCACAGAAATATGCTCGCGTACTGTGAGCCGTACAGAGGATGAGCATCTTGGTAAACTGACAGTGGCTCAGCTCCGCGGCAGATGTCTCAGAGTAAAAGGTGTGGGAATAGGCATTTCTACTTATTAATATGTATAGCTTCTGCTTCCTCTTCCTCCCTGTGGAATAAATATCTGATAGTGTGTCTCAGTGGTGCGAGAGCTCCGAGGCTTTGTACCTCTACTGGTGTCGTGCGTCAACCTCACAAGGGAAAAGTGCCATGAAAGTCACCAACAGCTCTGGGAGGTTAATTGCCAAGTTATAAAGACTGTTAGGCTGTGGGTGCTGTTAGCATATGGCGTCACTTCCTCTGGTTATAGAAAAAAGACTGTTCCACAATATGTTGGGTTTGTTACTTATATTAATACTCACTTTGATTTCTCATATTCCAGCTAAATGGAGCTCGAGTTATTTCAGTCACGATGACATCCTTGTTTGAGACGTTAAGGTCTGTAGTGTGCATACTAAACTAATCAGTGGTAGCATTTGATTTTACATATTGAACAGTAAATGACAAGATAATAAATAAGTTGCCTCTCAGTGCACTGTACATGAAGTAATGCTACAATTTCACATGCATAAATATTATGGCTAAGATGATAAAACACA